TCCTAGGCGAAATCGCCACTTTCAAACTGCATGGGAGAATTTCAGATCGCGAAGGCGATCTGAAACTTTTTTGAGGAAGTCCTAGGCGGAATGCCACTTTCAGACGCCGGCCCCATGTGGCCTTTATAATATCAAAGGGGGTGAGGTATGCGTCTGAAACTCCCAATTCGGCATCAAATCCAACATTGTCCTGGGCCCCATGGCCTAACGGGTGGCCAACGGCGTCTCTCTCTCTCTCTCTCTCGAACCCCGCCGTCCCAACTTTTTAATACAGTGGGTTGTAGGTCCAGACACGCGAACATCACACAAAGAAAAAAGAGGCTCCAGGAAAACGCCCAGGGTCCAGCCCAGATCCTTGATTTTCTTCAGAGCCCACGAAAATGTACGCCTTCTCTTAATCTTTCGGATGGGTGTACCCGACGGTCGCAAGAAGCAGGTAAGAACATGAAATAAAAAGGCGGATGAAATAGGTTGGGTCCAGGCCCTCCCAGAGAATCACAAAGACACCGCACAAGCGGATCAATCCTTGAAGTAGGAAGGCGCTTGAAGTAGACTGGGATCCGGGAGTCCAAACATGCCTACTTTCAAGGACCGGCGTGTACTCCCGCCAGCAGGCTGCCGAGGGCGAGAGGCGCACCGAGGGCGAGGCCCTCTTCTCTGGAGAACTCCACGGCTTGGGCGCCCTCCGGCCTGAAGCCCGGGGTGAGCGACCACCCGCCGCCCGCCAGCACTCCTCGACCGCACGAAAAGAGTGACCCAGGGCAGGGGTGACCTTCAGTGCGCGGCTTCAGGGGGGGGACGGGGGCGCGGGGGGGCCAAAGCCAAGCGCGCACGCGGCCGCTGCCGCTTCGCGCTCAGCGACCAGGGGACCCCACTGGGCCCGCACCAAAGGTCACTGCGGCGAAAGGTCATTCTTTCGTATGGTCGAACTCCCGAGAGCACCATGCCGACGCTGAGCGTGAAGAGCGAGCCGGCCTCGTAGGACGAAGCCAGGACGAGGATAAAATCGGGTGAAGATAAATCGAAAATATATGAAATCCGGCGGCTCTGGAGAATGTGTCCAGCGCCACGGTCTTCTCAGAGCGGTCTGGAACGCTCTGAGAGCTTTCTATAAAGCTCTGGGACGAATTTATCATCGGCCTAGCCCCGTCCGACCTCGGCGACGTTGAGCACGAGGTGCTTGTACGGGCGGTTGAAGCAGTGCCAGAAGCCGTAGGCGACGGTGACGAGGAGGCAGAGCTGGAGCTGCTGGAGAGGGCAGTAGCTCTTGGGCGACGCCGTCACGACACAGGCGATCAGCATCGTCTTGCTGAGGCGCCCCGACTCCCACCAGTGGAAGCCCGCGCGGTATGACCCCGTCAGGAACCTCAGGGGTCCACCCTGCTGTGCCCCTTGCCAGCGGCGCAGCAACGTCATCCAGTAGGCTGGGCCGGCCGCGAACGCGAACGCCAGCGCGGGGCCGCAAGTTGCCAGGTACCGCGTGTGAGCGCGGCACGCCGTGTCGGGATCGTACGCCATGAACTGCAGCGGGCCCTCCCCGTCGAAGGCCGTCTGCATGTGGAAGCACGGCAGCGCGCGCATGCCCGCCGCGGCCACGCCCGGCAGGAATTGGTTGCCGGCCACCAACGAGCACGTGACCAGGCTGTTCAGGACCTCGGCCCTGAGCTCCTTGAGGTCCAAGGTGCTGCCAGAGAAAGCGGCCCGGCCGCAGGCGCGGATGGCGATCAGGGCTGCGGCAACGGCGAGCACACACGCGGGCTTCTGCAGGGAGAGCGCCACGAGCTGGTTCACGGACGCGGCGCCCTGGCCGTCCATGAGCAGGCAGTCGCTGCTTGACGAATAGGTGACGTCGCCGCGCTGCGCCGTCTGCCGGGTCAGGCGCAGCGTCTGCCTGGCACGGTCCGCGGCATTCAGCTCGCGGTAGGCGTCAGTGGACGTGACAGATGAGACCACCACGCTGATGCTGGAAAGGTAGGCGAGAACAATCTTCACCACGTCATTGGCCAGCGCCGCCGCCATCCCCCTGGACGCCGCCGCGTTCTCGGCGCTGCGCATCGAGAGGAGAAAAAGAATCATCGGCTGCGCAAGCCAAGCGGCCCACCACTTCATAGCCGAGTCCAGCTTGCCGCACGGCTCGCAGGAGAACGGGTCGTTATCTTTCCGCCCGAAATCCTTGGCACATTTTGTGCAGCCAAGTGATGAAGCATCGATGCCGGTGGCGCACATGGAGCTGCCCTCGTCGGGGATCCCGCTGGAGGTGACGAGAGGGGCGACGAGCAGAAAAGGGCAAGCGCCCTCCTTGAACCCTGTGCTGCTGGTCAGCGAGGGCCTCATCATCTGGTGGCGAGGCATCGCGCAGGAGTAGGGATTCGGGCACTTGTACGCCTGGGTGCTGTTGGTGCTGGCGTCGGAAGCCAGCATGATTCCAAACGGGATATCGGCCGTAAGATTTTCCACACTTGTGACGATGCCGGCGTCTCTGAGGAAAGATCCTCGGCACTTCGCCTCTAAAGCCTCCTGCACATGCTCCCGGCTGAGCCGGATGCTTAGCTTATCCGCCACCGTGCGGCAAGGCACGGAACGGGTGTCCTCAAGTCCCTCCGAGCTCTCCATACGGAGTGTTGTTGATACCGCGCGTTTCTGGCTGCTCTTAGGCGCTCCCGACTCTTCTCGAAGGGGCCCGCCGCACGGCTTCCCCCACGGCATCAAGAGGCGCGGTTCGGAGTCCACGCTTCGCGGGACGGGACCCTCGGGGCCAGCCGCAAGAGATCAAAATCACTGAAGCGCTCAGAGGACGTAATGTAGCCGTCGGTGTAAACGGCGCCCACATGCATCATGGACAACGCAACCGTGTGCAGAACCCCCGTGCCCCCCAACTTCAGTGTTGACAACGGGGCTGCCTTGGCGGTGGATGTCTGGGCGTGTTTTATGCCGATGTCTACACCACGACAACGGCCGCGAACGCAACATTGAAATGGGGGGTCTGGGGGCGGCACCGTCGACGCAACGTCTGTGGGTGGGCGTTCTTTACACCAACAGCGGTTCCGTGATGTTCGCATTCCCGCCTTCCCGGTAATTATTCAGAGCGTCCACGATGGCCCAAGAAGCTCCAACACCAGCTCCAGGCGCACCAAGCGGCTCACAGGATGGCGCCCAAAACCCGCCCAAAGACTATGTGGCACGCCTTCGAAAGCCATCTGAAACCATCTGTAGTCATCCGAAGCCATGCCGAGAACACCTGAAACCATCCGAAACTCTTTTATACACTCCCAAACCTTCCGACACCCCTTACGGAACCATCGAAAACCGTCCAAACCTCCCAAAAAGCATCTACAACCTTCCCGAAGCCCTCAGATCCCTCGAATAACTTCCGCAACCTGCCAGAATTATCCCGAAGCGATGCTCGAGCATTTTGAATTCTCCCTGGACAATTTTCCCCCAGAAGCCTCATGCTCCCTGGGGGTCGAGCGGCTCACAAGGGATGAGGAGCGGCAGTGCATGCTATCCACTCCCCCATCCTCATGCACTTCTTCTCCGTATAGACAACTCTTCCGTGACGCGCGCCGGGCGTTTCGCACGAGACTTCCTCGCCATGTTCGGTCCTGAAGCTTGAAAGTCGAAACAAGGAAGAGGACGGAGCACAATGCGTATTCAAAGTGGGGATCTCGCCTTAACGACGCGCACCTTGTTTTTGAAGGCTTGCGACAACTACTAGAATGGAGGGTCCAATCGTTTTCCAAATGGAGCTCTCGCCTCAGCACCGCGCGCACTCGCCTCGAAAGCGTGTGACTCCGACAAGGATGGAGGGCGGCTCCTTTACAGAATAGGGATGAAGCCTGAGCGCCGCGCACTTTGATTTTGAAAGCTTGCGACAATTACGAGAATGGAGGGGGCTTGTTGTCACAATAGAGCTCCGGCCTTGGCAACGTGCGCATTCGTCTCTTAACTGTTTGCACCACCTACAGGGATGGAGGGCAGCCCCTCTTCGAAGATGGGGCCCGCTTCCGCGCCACGCGCACTCGTCCAACAAGCTTGCAACAGCTGCAAGGATGGAGGCCGGTCTCAACGTGGTGCCCTCGCCTCAGCGCCGCTCGCTCTCGTCCGAAGAGCCTGCCACAATTTCGAGGCTGGGGGGGCGGCTCCCGTGTGACAACCTGGGGCTTCCGCGCGAGCGCCGCGCACGTGTGCCCGAACAGCCCGCCGCGGTCACGGGGATGGAGGGTGGCTCCTGTCCAGGGCAGGGGCTCCCTCTCGAGATCCGGAGGGAGGAGGAGGAGGAGGAGGAGGAGGAGGAGGAGGAGGAGGAGGAGGAGGAGGAGGAGGAGGAGGAGGGAGGAGGAGGAGGAGGGAAGAGGAAAGGGAGGAGGAGGGGAGAGGAGGAGGAGGAGGAGGAGGAGGAGGAGAGGAGGAGGAGGAGGAGGAGGAGGAGGAGGAGGAGGAGGAGGAGGAGGGGGAGGAGGGACCGAAGTTCAGCCCTGCACAACAGCTACACATATGTCTTTTTTCAAGACGAGGACCTCGCAGGCCTAAGCAAAGGGTGCGGGTCTTTCCAGGAGGCGCTCCTTTATTGGTGAACAGGAAGGCTTGCAGAGACTCATGACGAGGGGACATGGGGAGGGAGGGTGTCCTGCAACATCGCTGATGCATCTTGGGCTTACTTTGACCCTCCTCCTTCTCGCCCGAATCCAACAGGAACGTTCTGCAACCATCGGAGACATGCACGAAACCACCCAAACCCCTCCGAGACCATTCCTGACACACCGAGACCCTCCGACGCAATCCGAAACCGTCGAACCCCCCAGAGTATCCGAAGCCCTCCCCCAAGCCTTTTGAAGCTTAACCGAAACTTTGGGACATCCTCCCAGACATTCCTCCTCCCTTTCCTCCTCCTCCTCCAGACGAGGACGAGGAGGAGGACATGGATGCGGAGGCGCAGGGCGAGCAGGAAGGGGGAGGTTCATGCTATCCGTCCTGAGGGGCGGTAAGGAGGAGGAGGAGGAGGCGGAGAAGAAGGCAGAACAGCAGGAGGAGGAGGAGGAGGAAGAGGAGGAGGAGAAGGACGTGTAGGTTGAGGGTGCTGTGGAAGCACGGGCTTCCCTCCAAAGAGCACCGGAAATTCCACAACCCCCTCCGAAGCGTTCCGAGAAAGTCCGAAGCCATCATCCGAAACCTTCCAAAACGCTCCCGAGCATCTCCGAAGTTGTTCAAACCCTCCGAAACCCTCCCAAACACAACGAAACTGTTGGCCCCCGCCGACATCCTATCGAAACCTTCCCAAAGCTATTCGAAGCCCTCCCAAATTACTCGAAACTCTTACAATACCACCAAAGCCTTCGCAGAGCCCTCCCAAGCCCTCCACGACCGCACGAAATTCTCAAAACACCTCCAGAATCTCCCAATACGCTCCCAAACCCTGCCGAACCCCCCGAGCACCCTCCGAGACTGCCCGAAAATGTCCGAAACTTTTGGGGGCCTTGCGACCCCCCCCGACCCCCTTCCGAGACCCTTCCAGACCCATCCGAAACGTTCTGAAGCCTTCCCGAAAACCTCCGCGCCCCCAGCCTGTGGGGGGAGGAGGAGTAGGAGGAGGAGGAGGAGGAGGAGGAGGAGGAGGAGAAGGAGGAGGAGGAGAAAGGGGAGGAGGTGAAGGAGGAGGAGGAGGAGGAGGAGGGAGGAGGAGGAGGAGGAGGAGGAGGAGGAGGAGGAGGAGGAGGAGGAGGAGGGGGAGGAGGAGGAGGAGGAGGAGGAGGAGAAGGAGGAGGAGAAGGAGGAGGAGGAGGAAGAAAGAGGAGGAAGAGGAGGAGGAGGTGGGAGGAGGAGGCCTCTTTTCCCTGGCTCATCCTGTCCCACTCGCCCTCGCTTTGATCCTCCTGTTGGCGGCGAGCTTGACGGCAACGTGGCCCCAGAACACCACAAGGACATGCGGGTTGCACAGGTCGGGATGGTCGACCTACTAATCAGGGCCGACTACAACTGCCTGTAAAGACTCGTGAACGTCCCACGGCATCGGTCTTCCCGCTCCAGACTGCCCCAAGATGGTCTCCAAGACGGCTACGACGGCCTCAAGAGAGCCCAAGATGGCCCCAAGATGCCCCCATGACAGGCCGAGATACCCCCAAGATGGCCTCAAGATGGCCCAAGACGGCCCAAAAGGCCTCCAAGACGTTCCAAGAGGCTTCCCTGAGGGCCTCCAGGAAGGCTCAGAGATTACTATCCTCAGATTGCTGAAAAATTCTGGCGTTTACTCATTTTCGACTTTCCGACGGCCCAAGACAGACCTGGAGGCCACCACGATGGCCCCAAAAGCGCCCAAAATGCATCCGAGATGGCCCCCTGGCGCCCTCAGAGGCCCCCAAAACGGCCCCAAGAGGGCCCCAAGGCGGCCAAGGAGACCTCCAAGACGGCCAAGATGGCCTGCAAGACAGCCCTGAAGCGCCCCAAGAGGGCCTCAAGTCGTTTCAGAGAAGCCCTCAAGACGGCTTTTCCAACGGCGCCAGACGGGCCAGGAACGCCTCAGACGGTCAAAGAGCCTGCTAAGGAGCCTCCAGAGGCCCCCCCAGGAAGGAGCCCCAAGGAAGCCCCCAAGAGGCCTCCAAGAGGCCCCCGGGAAGCTCCCACGAGGCCGCAAGAGGGCCCCAAGAGGCTCCCAAGAGGCCTCCTCCTCCAGCTTCCTCCCTCACATCCTCTTCTGTCCTTGCTAGTAATACGCAGTTCCGCCGTCTTATCGCATCAGTATTCTCATTGGTACTACTAGCATTAGAAATAGTATGGCCATTTGGATTAGTATTCGGACTAGTATTAGCCATACTACTCTTACCAATGATAATACTAATATGTTTACCATGAATCGTAATAACAGCGTGAGTGAAAGTACTAATATGAAAGATCCGTAGCGATGATATTACCAGTATGGTTAATAGTGCGAACATTGCTATCAGTATACAATGTTTGAGTAGTAGTATCCTAAGTAATCTTAGTACTAGTCGCACCAGCATTCGCATTAGTTTCGTTAGTAGTAGTAGTAGTAGTAGTAGTAGTAGTAGTAGTAGTAGTAGTAGTAGTAGTAGTAGTAGTAGTAGTAGTAGGTAGTAGTAGTAGTAGGTAGTAGTAGTAGTAGTAGTAGTAGTAGTAGTAGTAGTAGTAGTAGTAGTAGTAGTAGTAGTAGTAGTAGTAGTAGTAGTAGTAGTAGTAGTAGTAGTAGTAGTAGTAGTAGTAGTAGTAGTAGTAGTAGTAGTAGTAGTAGTAGTAGTAGTAGTAGTAGTAGTAGTAGTAGTAGTAGTAGTAGGAGTAGTAGTAGTAGTAGTAGTAGTAGTAGTAGTAGTAGTAGTAGTAGTAGTAGTAGTAGTAGTAGTAGTAGTAGTAGTAGTAGTAGTAGTAGTAGTAGTAGTAGTAGTAGTAGTAGTAGTAGTAGTAGTAGCAGTAGTAGTAGCTGTAGTAGTAGTAGTAGTAGTCGTAGTAGTAGTAGTAGTAGTAGCAGTAGTAGTAGTACTAGTAGTAGCAGTAATAGTAGTAGTAGTAGTAGTGGTAGTAGTAGTAGTAGCAGTAGTAGTAGTAGTGTAGTAGTAGTAGTAGTAGAAAAAGTAGTAGTAGTAGTAGTAGTAGTAGTAGTAGTAATAGTAGTAGTAGGAGTAGTAGTAGTAGTAGTAGTAGTAGTAGTAGTAGTAGTGGTAGTAGTAATAATAAAAGTGGTAGTGGTAGTGGTAGTAGTAGTAGTCGTCGTCGTCGTAGTAGTAGTAGTAGTAGTAGTAGCAGTAGCAGTAGTAGTAGTAGTAGTAGTAGTAGCAGGAGGAGTAGTAGTAGTAGTTGTAGTAGTAGTAGTAGTAGTAGCAGTAGTAGTAGTAGTAGTAGTAGTAGTAGTAGTAACAAGAGCAGCAGTAGTAATTCTAAAGATACGAATTTAAATCATAAGAAAGCAGATCGATAAGATGAATGCTACTACTTTCGCTCAACAAAACAAAACAAACAAAAAGCATATTATTCGTATGAGTATTATAATGTCCCTTAATAATAATACCAATAATATCACGAATATGTGTATCCTCTCTCTCTGTCTTTATATTGCATGTCATTATTTCTCCCCCGCCTGTTCCCGTAGGGTTTCCGCAACGGCTGGGGGGAACACGTAGTCAGAAGGCTTGGGCGAGCTCCCGATTCGCCGTAGGCGCCTCAGATAAGTATCGTCCACGTCCGGCTCGTGCTCCGCCTTGTTCAGGAGGTTCAACACATCGGTCCCAGCCGCCGAGGCTACCTTGGCCAGCGCACGGCCGACCATGACTGCAACTTCTTTTGCTGGTACATGGGCGTTGCCGCTGATCATACTCAACGATAGGTACGGCAGGGATTCCCTCAGTACGACCACCAGCGTGGGCACCAACGGTTTCAGGGCCGCTGGCTCAAGTCTCCAGAAGAGATCAGAGAGCCTCGTCAAAGTCACGAATGTCTTATGGATCCGAACGGCCCTCTCCTTGCTCCAGCAGTTGGAGCAGTCCGGGCGGTCGGTGAGCGTCCGCGACAGGTTGATCATGGTCTGCTCGGCGGCCCCAATGCCGCCCAGCATCGGCAGAACCTTCAGGGCCACCTGCCGCACCTCCTTGTCTTTCTCGTCGGCAACCGCGCGCAGGGCGACGGCCACGGACCGCTCTGCGGACCTGGGCCCGAGCATTGGCAGATGATTCAGGGCCGCCTCGCGCACGAGCGGCTCCGTGTCGTTGGCCGCCGCTACCAGCAAGGCGTCCGCTGCCTGCTCTATGGCCAAGGGCCCGACCAGCCTCGCCAGAGCATCCACGCCCGCCGCGCGCACTTTCCCCTCGGTGTCCTCGGTCGCCGCCTGCAGAATGACGGGCACGGCCTGTGCGGCGTCCTCGTGCCTCAGCAACTGCGGCAATGCCTCCAAGGCTGCCACGCGCACCTCCTTGGCCGCCTCCTTGTCCTCCCTGGCCGCCTGCAGCACCTGCATGACGACGGTCGCCTTCCGCTCGACGAGCTCGGGCCCGGCCAGCCCCAAAACCGTCAGAGCCCTAGTAGAGGCCTCCCAAATGAGATCGGAGTAGATGGGGTCGGAGCATCGCGCCCCATCGTCGATGCATCACCGATGCATCGGCGACGTCGGCGTTGGAGAAAATCGGGCTCCACATCGAGCAGCATCGCAGATGCATCGGCGATGCGGCGATCCTCTGACCCCAGATCTGCTCCGACCCCATCTGGGAGGCCCAGACCTGGTCCGCACCCTCTTGTCCGCATCGCGCTCCAAGGCAAGGGCGACGCCGGGCACGGCAGGCAGCAGCGCGCGCGCACCGCCCGGCGCCCTGCCGATGGCACACAGCCGCATTGCCGCCTTCAAGCGGCTCGCCCGGACCATCTGGTCTACCTTCCTCCACACCTGAGCGCCGCAAAGATACGGGCCTTGCGCGAAATGGCATAGCGACCTTGCGCGGTGGCTGCCGCGGGCCGCTAGCGCGGCACACCACATCGGAAACGAGGGCGCTCACGCGCGACCTCGCGCGGGACGGTTGACGCTTACGCGCCAATATCCGTGCAGACGACCCCGTTCCCTTCCGTCGCTCACCTGATGCACCGCAGAACTGTCCCGCATCACTAACAACGTCTTGTTCCCGACGGTCTGCTTCGAATCGATCATCCTCTCGATCTCCCGCTCCACCATCTCCTCCATCGCTGTCTCGTTCGGCACGTCCAGAATCGTCCTGTTCAACCTCTCCACCTCCAAGGCCAAGGTCCCGTTCTGGCCCGGCCACCTCGGCTCGGAAACGTCTCTTTCCGTCCCGTTCCGCCTGTTGGGCGAGCGTCTCGCCCGCGACTCCTCGGCCACTGCGGGCGCCAGGGCGACGTGCTGCAAGTGGCGGTGCTGCACGACCATCGCCATCTTCCCACTCCCCAGATCCATGGCCCGCCGATCGGCCATGGAGGAGCCAAAGAGCGTGGGCGCGATGGCCGCTGCCAGAGCGGCGGCCGACAGCGTCTTGGAGTGGAGCCGCGCCGCCATCGCGGCGCGCTGGAATAGAACTTTCAGACGACGATCGACTGTGCCTTCAGCCAGAAGGCTCTGGCATGATGATGACGACGACGGCACCACGCCCCTGGGGTGGCAGGCAACAAAGCAGCAGCAACCTGCAACGCGTCGGAGGTTGACGGGCGATGGTGTTAGGTCGGGCATGTCCCCCTACAGGCGAATTTGGGGCGAAAAAATAAAATTGCCAAAACATGTTCAAACATGGCCAACAATAATCGAAAAATCGTCCCCAGACTACTTTTGAACTATTTTTGAAGATTCTTCCTGTAGAGGGACAGGCCCGACTTAACGATGGTGTGATCTGACACTCACCGAATTCGATCACTTTGAAACCATATTCCAACACACTTTCTTACGGTCGGGAATTTTTGCTTAGCGTGTCATGGCAGCGGCCCCTGCGGCACGCTATGTCCTGCGAGCTGCTAACGTGTCGCTCCGCTCCGCGGGGCGGGAGGCCAGGACAACCTAGGGACATCTGTTCCTGGGAATCATGGACGCGGTTAGCGTGTCGCGCGGAAGCTTGGTGGGCCAGAACTGGCGGCGCGACACGCTAAGCAAACGTTATGGACCATATTCCAATCCAGAGGCCGCACCTTGATAGTTCGAAATGAACTGAGCTATCATTACCTCTCCCCGCGTCTCTTATCTCCCTCTCACTGCATGGCCACCCCCCAGCATGCCTCCTCAACAACATCATGCATAGCACGACTTCTGGTATGGGGCCGAACCTGAACTATGTACTCTATAGTCTGCGCTTCATCCCAGTACACGTTCTTATCCCTAGGCTCTGGGAGCTGGGTTTGGGGGACCCTCACGATGCGATCTTCTAACCGGAACCGACCCTGCCACCGCCCCCCCTGACACCCTGACCCTTGCAACCTGTCTCTGGGAATTTGGTCTTAGAACCCCCCATCCCGCAAATTCCCGCTCGGAACCGGCCCTGCCGCCCACATCCCCTGACGTCCCAGGATGAAGCAAAATACATATTTTTCATATGGCCGGGGAACCCAGAAAAAGCGCCCCCCTCCCCCCCCCTAACGCCGGAGACCCTGGAAAAAGCGCACGCGCACACACACACACACACACACACACACACACGCACGCACGCACGCACGCACACACACACGCGCGCGCGCGCACACACACACACACACACACGCACACACACACACATTCACGCACACGGAAAAGGCGCACGCGCACACACACACACACACACACACACACACACACGCACACGCACACACACACACACACACCTAACGAATTTGACCCACCCTGGGCCTCTCGGGGGCACCGCACGAGAGCCCGAAGACGGCCCCAGAGGGCTCCAGGCGCTCCAACGCGCCCCAGAAACGACCCCAGACAACCCAACGAAGCCGTCATACCCCCATAGGTCGCTCCAAAACATCCCACGAGGCCTCCAAGAGCACTCCCGGGCCCCAAGAGGCAAGATGCGTCGATCATCTCTCGTTTTTGTTTAACACATTTCGGGGCTCCCCTTGTCGCCTTCCCGAGGCGCCAAGGGCCCCACAAGGCCCCCCCGATCGCCGTAGGACGGCCCGACAGACTTCCACGAGGGCCCCGAGCTGGCCCAGGAGGGCATCCAGACACTCCCGAGAGGGCCCCAGGAGGCCCCAGGAGGCCTCCACGAGGCCTCTTCGACGAGTCCCACAGAATCCACCCACCTAACGCATTTGACGCACCCGGGGCCTCTCTGGAGCACCCCACGAGAGCCCGAAGACGGCCCCAGAGGGCTCCAGGCGATATGGCGCGCCTCCGAAACGACCCTGGACAGCCCAAAGAAGCCGTCATACACCCAAAGATCGCTCCAAAACCCCCCACGAGGCCTCCAAGAGCAGCCCCAAGAAAGCCCAAGGAGGAACAATTTGTAGATTTTCTATTGTTTTTTGGTGCATGCCGGTTTTTTTTCACTTTTCGGCTTGACGGGGCTCCAAGACGGCCCACGAAGCCCCACAGACCGCCTTCAGACGGCGCGACAGACTGCACGAGGGCCCCGAGCCAGTCCAGGAAGGCCTCCAGACATTCCCTAGACAGCCCCTCGAGACCCGAGACCTCCCACGAGGCCCCGACGAGGCCCCAAGAGGATCCCCAGGGGCCCCCAGGAAGCCCAAAGGGTTTCCAAGAGTCCCAAAAAAGATCCCCCCCACCTAATGCATTTCACCCACTACGGGCCTCTCGGGAGCACCCCACGAGAGCCCGAAGACAGCCCCAGGGGGCTCCAGGCGCTCCAGCGCGCCATCGAAACGAGCCCAGACAGCCCAAAGAAGCCGTTATACACCCAAAGATCGCTCCAAAACGTCCCACGAGGCCTCCAAGAGCACTCTCAAGAAAGCCCTAAGGGGCACAATTCGTTGATTCTCTATAGCTTTCCTGGTGCCTTTCAGGGTTCTCTCCTTTTCCGCTTCCCGAGGCTCCTCAAAGGCTCACGAAGCCCCCCCAGATTGCCCCAATACGGCCCGACAGACTTCACGAGGGCCCTGAGCCGGCCCAGCAGGGCCTCCAAACATTCCCGAGAGGGCCACTGGGGGCCCCATGAGGCTCCCACGAGGCCCCCAAGAGTCCCCAGAGGCCCCAGGAGGCCCAAAGAGTTTCCAAGAGCCCCACACGATCCCACAAGGAGCCCACAGCAGTTCGAAAACGGGTCGCAAGCCCGATCATGACCCCAAAACAGCCCAACACAGCCAATACGCGCCCCAACACGGGCCCAAGCCGTTGTGGGACTGCACCACCTTCCCCAGAGGCCCTGCGCGCGCAGGCGCGTGCACACACATGTACACGTGTATACCTACAAGCGTCTGTGCACGCGTAGACATATACAAGTAGACGCGGTGCACACATGCGCGCACATTATTCGACGTTCACATAAGTGTGTGTGTGTGTGTGTGAATATATGCACAACCGTATTGGCGCTTCGCGCCATGCATATTGGTCCTTGGAGTTTGGTATGCAGGTGGAATGGCAGGAAGGTCAAACTGACAACTCAGCGATAACTTCTTGTTGCCTTTTCCGGCGTCGCCGTTACAACAATGTCATTCGTTATCATTCCTCCGTGTTTCTTTTTCCTCATTCTCGCCATACCCTGCGTAGTCTCCCCATCCTCCTCAGCTCTTTTTGCGGAGGCTCCTCCTTGGAGAGCCTCTGGGGGCCTCACAAAAGTTGTTCAAGCTTTCTTAAGGCCTTCTGGAGGCCTCCTGGGCATCTTCTGGGGGCCTCTGGGTGCTTCCTCGGGCCACCCTGCCTCCAACCGCGGTCTCCCTGAACGACCGGGTCACGATTTGGAATGCTTCGGAGGGCGTCTTGGGGCCATCTTGGGCCGTCATGGGGGTCTCTTAGGCCATCTTGAAACCCTGTTGTGCCGTCTTGGGGCTCTCTTGGACTGCCTGGGAGCCTTTCGGATGGTTGTGGGGCGATTTTCGAGCCTCCCAGGCGGCTTCGGACGCCCAGAAGACCGCCGTCTTGAAGTGTCGGGAAGCCGAAAAGAGGAGTACCCCAAAATTCACCAAGAACCGCCAGAAAATCAATGAAGTGTGCCTCTTGGGGCCTTCTTGAGAATGCTCGGACGTTTTGAAACGATCTTTGGGGGTATGACAGCTTCTTCGAGGTCGTCGTGGACCGTCTTGGGGCTGCCTGGGGTCGTTTCGGGAGCACGCTGGAACGCCTGGAGCCCTCTGGGGCCGTCTTCGGGCTCTCGTGGGGTTTTCCCGGGTCGTCTGGAGGGTTGCCCGAGAGGCCTGGGGTGGGGCAAATTCTCAAGGGGGGGAACGCTTTTTCTGGGGTACCTGGCCTTATCAAAATGGAAGAATAGGAATGTGTGTATGTGCATTTTGCTGTATCTATGACGTCAGACGATGAGAGCGCATGCATATGTATCGTGCGTGATTGTATACGTCTCCGTGTGCACACATGTATGTTCCCCAATCAGAGCTTGCCTCTGTAGGGGTCCTAGCGGATTCATATGGTTAGGTGAGCTTTGCCGCCGATTTCTGCGGCCCGCCCGGGTGCCCGGGTGCCCGGGTACCTTTTCGCTTCCAGTCGGCTCGGGAGGCGTCAAGATAGCCCCAGGACGGCTCCAAGTGAGTCCCCAGACGAGCCCCAAAGAGGCTCAAGGCTGGCCCAAGAAAGTCCCAAAAATAAAACATCAATGAAAATCCATGGGAAAATCAATGTTTTTGGCCTTCTCGTATTTCGCTTACGATCGGCTCTTGAGGCGTCAAGATAGCCCCAGGACAGCTCCAAATGAGTCCCCAGACGAGCTCCGAAAAGGCCCAAGGCTGGCCCAACAGGGCCGGGAGAGTCGGAAATCAGAGAAAACCCAATAGAACAGCAATGTTTTCGGCCTTCTCGCCTTTTCGCTTCCAGTTGGCTCGAAAGGCGTCAAGATGACCCCAGGATGGCCTCCGAGAGGCGCACGCCGAGGCCCACAGAGGCCCAAGGCTGGCCGAAGAGGGCCCAAGGAATGAACAATGTGTAAAAATTCACATTGGAAAATCAATGCTGTGGGTCTTATCGCCTTGTCGCTTCCGATTGGCGCTCTTGAAGCATCAAGATAGGCCCAGGACGGCTCCAGATGAGTCCCCAGACGAGCCCCACAGAGGGCACAGACTGGGCCCGGAGGTTCGAAAATCAATTGAAAAACCGTTTGGGGAAACAATGCTTTCGGCCTTCTCGCCTTCTCGCTTCCGTTCGGCTCGGGGGGCGTTAAGATAGCCCCAGGATGGCTCCAGAGAGGCGCAAGCCGAGGCCCACAGAGGCCCAAGGCTGACCGAAGAAGGCCTAAAGAATTGAAAGTCAATGAAAACCATTGGAAAATCCATGTTTTGGGCCTTCTCGCCTTCTCGCGAACGATCGGCTCGGGAGGCGTCAAGATAGGACCAGGACGGCTCCAAATGAACCCCCAGACGAGCCCCAAAGAGGCCCAAGGCTGGCCCAAGAAGACCCACATGTTTGAA